TTCGATACCAGAAGAAGAAATGTGACTGATCGGTGCCGATTTCAATGGACATGTCGGAGAGCAACGAAGTGGTCTACAGAAGTGCCATGGAAACCACGGTTACGGAACACGTGATGACGAAGGAAAGCGTATTCTGGAGTTCGCTACAGCCCACAACCTAGCCTTGGCAAATACGTACTTCATCAAGAAGACCAACCACCTCATCACGTACGCCAGTGGAGACCACAAGTCGCAGATAGACTTCTGGAGTGTTCGACACAACGAGCTCAAGTATGTGAAGGATAGCAAAGTTATCCCAGATGGAGAATGCGTGTCACAACATCGGCCACTGATACTGGATCTCAATACCAGTCGACAGGAGAAGAAGGGCGATGACCGAACAAGAAGTACGCATTAAGTGGTGGAAGCTCAAAGATAACTCTCACACCAGAGCGTTAATGAAATCTGCCCTGCCAATAATGCAAAGTGATCCAAACCTCTCCTGTGGCCGTACTCATCAACGAACCTCGAGGGTTAAACTAACCCTGGAGGGTTAGTTTAACCCTGGAAAGCATTTAACCAGTATTCATGAAACACAGGGTAGGCTTAACCCTGAGGGTTAATTTTACCCCGAAAGCGACTAACCCGTATTCATCAACGAACCGTGAGGGTTAAACTAACCCTGGAGGGTTGAACTTACGTGATTCATCAGGATTAATTTAACCCTAGCTCAGAGCAAGGTTAACTCTACCCTAACACTTCAAACAAACATTTACTCGCATCTAATAGTTTATGGAAAACGATCAACGAGTATTGTAGTATTTAGCATTGGTTGTTGTTATAGTATTTGGTTTCGACTTCGTTTTATGTTCATATTCGAAATACATGAAACACTGACTTCGCGAGAAAAGAATTCTGGCTTTGGTGACAAATAAATACGACGAGGAATGGCATTCCACTCTGACAAGTGCCAAAACAGAAGAACCCCTTTTCAATAACACGCATTGACCCCTAAAAGAGTAGCACAAGCCCGGTATAAAACCAACTGCGCAAAAGTAGAACTTACACTGCACAATTGCACACATGAAAATAAACTCACGCTGTAAGATTGGATGCTGCACAAGTATGCTAGAGATGTATTATAAAAACTAGTGTTAGAAGCTTATTCGTTGACTATACTACTATAACAGTGAAAGAATAGAAGTATAAAGTGAATTTAGCCCGTACTTAGGCATTCTGTGATGTGAGTTTGCACAGCGCACGCGTAATTGACGCCTTAACCCTTCAGGGTTAGTTTAACCCTCAGGGTTGATGAATACGGCCACAGGTTCGTTGATCGATACGGGTAGATCGCGTTACGTGGTAAACCCTAGCCTATGGTTGATGAATGCGGCCAATGAATCCTGAGGGTTAAACTAACTCTGGAGGGTAGGCTTAATCCTCAGGCTTCGTTGATGAATACGGCCACTGGATGCTTCTGAAGAACAACATCCATCAGATAGCAGGAGACCTACTAGGCCGCACGAAGCCCGGGAGACGGAAGCTCGAGAAAGAAACATGGTGGTGGAACGAAGAAGTGCTAATCGTGGTAAAGAACAAAAAGGCGGCATACAGAACATGGCAGAAGACACGTTCAGAAGACACTCACCGCAGATACATGGAAGCGAAACGAGAAGCCAAGAAAAGTGTCAGAGAAGCGAAAGAGGCATACGTAGCTGAACTATACAGGAAGCTGGTTCGTGAAGGCGAACGAGAAGTCTATCGGATTGCCAGAAGAAGAGCCAACGCTACGAAAGACATCGAACACTTCCACAACATCAAGGATGCACACGGAAGAATGCTGAGGAAGCCACAGGAGATAAACGAAAGATGGAGAGCGCACTTCGCAGAGTTGGCGTCCGCTAACCCAGAATACGCGTCCACCGTAACAGCCGATCCTGTGAATGGACCAGTACCAGCTATCACAAAAGCAGAAGTCCGCACCGCAATAACGGAGATGAAGAACGGAAGGACAAGCTGGTGTCTCGTGGCTTACACGACTTCTGAATGAGATAATAGAATTCGGAAAGATGCCAGACGAGTGGTACAGAAGCACGACGATACCAATATGGAAGAACAAGGGCGACATAGCCGACTGCTCCACGTACAGGCCAATTCGACTTATGTGCCACACCTTGAAGATCTTCGAAAGAATACTGGAGACGCTGCTTCGAAGTATCGTACAACTGGCCCCTCACCAATGCGGCTTCGTAAAGGGATGCAGTACAACCGATGCCATCCACACCGTCAGAATAATGATGGAAAGAAGCTTAGAAAAGCAGTGTGAGCTTCATGCGGCATTCCTCGATCTGGAGAAGGCGTTCGATAGAGTACCACATCACATAATATGGTGGGCGCTACGGAAGCACGATGTACCAGAAGAATACGTCCGCTGGATCAGAATTATATACAAAGGAGCCACCAGCCACGTACGAACTGCAGCGGGACGCTCAGACGACTTCCAGATAAACGCCGGCTTGCATCAAGGTTGTACTGTCGCCACTCCTCTTCCTCACAGTCGTGGACACGATAATAAGAGACTTCATACGCCCACTCGCATGGTCCGTCATGTACGCAGATGATGTGATCTTGATGGCGAGAAGCAGGAGAGAATTGGAGAATGATGTGCAGATGTGGAAAACGCAACTCGAGCTGCATGGTCTGAAGATCAGTACCGCGAAGACAGAATACATGGAACTGGGACGTCAGATGCCAGGAACGATCCAGATCGCAGACACAGCAATCAAGAAGATCACGTCGTTAAAGTACTTGGGAAGTCACATCATAGCAGATGGCTCGCTTCACGACGAGATAAACGGCCGAATAAGCACAGCTTGGTTAAAATGGAGAAGCTTAACAGGAATTCTGTGTGACAAACGGATGCCACTGAAGCTGAAATCACAAATGTATCGCACAGTAATCCGTCCAACCGCGTTGTATGGAAGCGAGTGTTGACCAAGCACACGCAATGACGAGAGGAAGCTTGGTGTGATGGAAACACGTATGCTACGATGGACGATGGGTGTGACCATGCTCGACCACGTCACGAATGATACTATACGAACCACGATGAAAATTGCCCCGATAGCCAAGAAGATGCAAGAACGGCGGCTTCGATGGTACGGGCACGTGAGAAGACGAGAAGAAGAACACATTACAAGACTAGCAATGTCAGTGGATGTTACCGGAAAAAGACCACGAGGAAGATCAAAGCTAAGATGGATGGACCGAGTCAAAGCAGACCTCAGAGAACTTGAATTAGATGATAGTCGAGTTGTAGATAGAGAAGAATGGAAGAGACTGACAAGAGCGGCAGACCCCGTATAGGGACAGATGCAAGGATAAAAAAAATCTACCATATGTAATAAACCGCTAAAGCTCACAGAAAGACTTACTCACAAAAACAGACGTTAGCGGTTTTTTGCGAGTAAGTCTTTCTGTGCCTTTTGCTCGAAACCTTAGGCCGCACTACTAATAAAGTCTCGAACCCCGTCTCGTACAACTAGTAAATAAGAGAGCTTGATTATTCAAAAAGACTTACATGCAGCTATGATGCACTTCAATTCCTGTACGGGTAAAAGTGCTTTTGACATCTCGTAGAGTGCAGAATCGGTCAAATTTCCCTTGCACTTGGATTACTAGCCGACTCATAATCGCAAAGGCAAGATAAATAAGGGTTGTCGTCGCTTGTTACTCAGAGCGAAAACGTAGAAATTGCACCTTATAGCAAGCTTTGTTGCTTTCTGTTAAACTCAGTGACTATGTAGACTTCGGACAGCTAAAAATCTTGATTTTTCTTATGCTAATCAATTAATCAATCTCAACCTTTTCTAATGTAACTCTTAAGCCGTTTGCTCTATTGCACTTGAAAGTTTCTCCCGCTAAGCAAAAATTGTTTGATGACTCTAAAAGATTAAGTTAGAGTAGACTCTTATGATAAATTTACGTTAGTAGAGATGAGTTGCTTACGAAGAAAGAAAAACGAAAAATTTTACGTTGGTAGAGAAGAGTTGCTTACTGAATAAACAAATCACATACAATCATTTTTCCTCAAGGCGCTGATCTAGTCATAAAGATTTCCTTTATCCAGTGGTACTTGATTATTTACACTTCTGCCATTGACTGGAGAACAAACAGATGAACTATATAAAGTAGAAAGAAACTGGAAACTCCTCATCGCTTCGGCACGTCTACAAGCACTCACAGGTAAGCCTGACTTCAACTCTATACATTTCTCAGCGCAAGTACTGTGCATCATACGGAAACGATGTAGTGAATTCATGGAGCATGCTGTATGGTGCACAAGCTTCTTTTTAGTAAAGAAATTATTCGTCCTAAATTTTATGTAGTACGCATTTGCTGCAAATGAGGCCTACAGTGAATACTAGCGAGACTTCATAGCACTTAGAAATCGTTTCTTCTTGGAAAAGTGATTCAGTTGAAGCAATTTGTGTAAACTGGCATTGCATTCTTGTCATACGTATTCTTCATATCAGTTGTGCAATTTTGAACGAGTTTCAAGCTTAATTTTCAGTTTTAATATTTTGGTTTGATTTATTCAGATGAGAAATACATGGAATATAATAATTCACCGTCTCTCAAACACAAAGTGTAACCAACTATGAAAGATTTGTATTTTAGTGCTGTTCGAGCATAGATGTGGTTTGGAATGCGCACGATTGAAAACACTTACCTTATTGGTAGATTAACGACTAGTCATCTTCTCTATTCTCGTGGCAAAGCACCAAAAGTATAACTGAAGAGATAGGCATTTTCTCAAAAAGTGGCTGCAAATCTATAAAAGCATAAATGTCCTTCACAAGTCACAGAGACATTTTGAAACTTATTATTACACTGAAAGGCACTCTTTAATGGCCAAATTAGTTAAAAGGAATTTAGTCGTCTTTTTCGGAAAAACATGATCTTTCTCCAGCAAGTTTGAAGTTACAATAAACTCTGCTGACGCTATCTCAAATTTCAGGATGAAGACAACTGCTTGCTTTGCTGCCATTCTGCTCATCTACAACTTCACACCGGCCTGTGGAAAAGTGCTCAAAGAGAAGACATCACGAACCAGGAGGCAATGTTTTGGTATTGTTTGCTGTATTACCGGAGGCACTGGCTCTGTCGCCGACTGTGGCACTGGTGCGGCTGCTCCATCTGCAGCAACGAGTTACGCTGCACCCGCGGCTGCTACATCCTACGCTGCTCCTGCTGCTTCAGCAAGCTATGCAGCTCCAGCTGCTACATCCTACGCTGCTCCCGCAGTAAGCACAAGCTATGCTGCTCCTGCTGCTCCGGCCGCCACATCCTACGCTGCCCCAGCCGCTTCCGTATCGTATGCCGCACCGTCTGTCTCCTATGCAGCCCCAGCTGCTACATCTTATGCTGCTCCCGCAGTTTCTTATGCTGCACCAGCGGCCACTAGCTATGCTGCTCCGGCTCCCTCCGTATCCTACGCTGCACCAGCTGCACCAGCTGTCACCAGCTATGCTGCCCCGGCCCCCTCTGTATCCTATGCTGCACCAGCTGCACCAGCTGCCCCCAGCTATGCTGCACCAGCTGCTCCCAGCTATGCTGCACCAGCTGCCCCCAGCTATGCTGCACTAGCTGCTCCCAGCTATGCTGCACCAGCTGCCGCTCCCGCTGCGGCTCCAGTTTCCACCGGAGTCTCATCTTCACAATGTTGCTGTGTATCCTGCTGCATTATCGGCAACGTCTGCTGCTGTTGAGTCCTTTTACAATATCGGCCACTCAATTCTGCCATTTTACATGCTATAGTAAAAGCTGCAGCAAGAGTACTGCCAAGTGTTGATCTATGAGTGGGCCACAAGTATTCCTCTGGAGACTATATCTGTTGATGTAGCGTTTTGAACTGCCGCAATTGCTGCCATAAATTGTCATTTAAGGTTTATTTGATAGTGAAGCTACTGTTTAGTAGCTTACGCTAGCTTTCGAAAACATAAAGCTGATTAAATAAATCGTTTTTACTTGTACAAAGTTTAGCTGAGTTTTAGCAACGTAATCTTCTTGTTCGAATATAAGGCCTATTCTGCCGCAAAGAATTCGCAGTGATTGTGAGAGGTTATATTATACTTAGGAGTTACTACAAGTGCTCCTAGCCATTAAGCTAATTTAAATTAAGCTAAACGAAGCAATGCTGTACATCTCGTCAAGAGCTAAGCTGGCTGTAAGAAAGTTATGCGTCAAATAAAAGCGGTTGTTTCAACCGATTTTTTTAAAATGATAGTTTTCCTCTGACCAAACTGACGAATGGCAAACTGGATAAAACAGATAAAGCGGATCAAATATGGCGCGTGCCTTAGGTCAACGTCTGGTCAAGTACACTGCTGTACGTATAGCGAAACATTTGCTGATTCTTTAAATCTATGTCGTTTTGTTCCTGTTGTCCATAGGAAGCACGAGATAACTTCGTTCTTCGGGTCATCCCGCTTGTGAAATCTGTCAAATAATCTCCTCCAATTGCTGAGTATGACTGTCTAGAAATGAACAGAATCTCGCTGTAGTTGAATTTTACAACTTACTAGCTGATGACCCGTCTCGCCCGAGACTTTTAGTTCAACCAAGATGGGGTAGGAGAAAGAAATCCGCTAGTTTGAAACATCTCCGCGGACTACTGGTCCTGAAACCACAAACAACAATATTTCAAAAGAACCAGTTGCCAGCAAAGGCGGGCTCAAACTGGCGAAGTTCGTTCCCCTACCCACCAAAATGTCATCGGCTCCCAGATTCATGTAGAGGAGAAATGCGCACTTCCTTGATTTTCAGGACAAACTTGTTAATCCTCCACGTTTTAGCACTGTATTTCGTACTTTCTCGTTGAGCTTTCCTTAACCAGTAAAGTCCGCAGCCCACCTCTACACGAATTTGAAAGCTCTCATACTTACACTTTCTAACTTCTACAATGCGCAAAAAAACGCTTTGAGACGAACCTGCTGCATCCTGTCGACCTTGAGATCAGAATAAACTTTACTACCCCTACTTACATGTTTATTGGAGAATGATTGGTTGGAGCTCGTCTAACTATCATTTTCCCAGATTTAAGTAAACAAATCAATAAATCAATGAAAGGACCCTGCGAATCGCCTCAAAAAGTAGCCATAAACACCCGCCGGGGTCGAAAACATATGTGTGCGAAGTTTCAGCTCAATCGGTTTAGTGGCTGGCGTTTTTTTAACGAATGAACAACTAAACGAACATCCTCACAGACATTGAGTTTTATATATATATATAGATTTCACATTTTCTGTGGAACAGGGAATATTATGCTATGAGACTTTTATTTGCATTGTTCTTCTACAAAAGCAGTCTTTTAAAATGTTTATAGATATGATTGACCAATAACCATGAACAAGACTATCTCACAAGATGATGAACAATGCTTGCACAAATAGGAGACTGCACACAGCTCTAACAGCCCAGAAATCAGAATGTCCAGAAAGCGCAAAATCTGAGTGATACTTTGGTGATAGTAACGAGATTAGTTTGTAGTACAGGTACAAGTTCATTATATTTTTACTCATGAGGAAGATATCTAATAGGATATGAGTCATCTGCAAAATGAATAGCGAAACATATGGGAAAGAGTAAATTGATTCAGCCTTGTCGGGGAAATAACGAACAGCTGCCACGAGGAACGAAAGCAAATAATACCGTAAAAATACTTTGCACTGAATTCAGGGATGACCTCTCCTTTTTTGTCTTCTTTCCTACTGTAGGTGCACTGTAGATGGCACTATGCGTAATTATAATTGGGAAAATGATGGGTTGGTCCCTGAAAGAGCTTGGTCCCAGGAGGCAGACAACTAAATATCTGCATGGTCGTCAATGTGTTGATTTCTCCTTCAAGACTATGTCTGTTTATATAGCGTTTCAAGCTGCCGCAATAGCTGCCATAAACTGATTGGAGGTTTATTTATATAACATTGCGGGATGGTGTTGAGGCTGCTGTTTAGTAGCTTACGCTAGCTTTCGAATCTGTGAAGTCCGCTTTTGTTTGAATAAATCGTTGTTTATACTTGTAAAGGTTTTGTTGAGTCTTGTAATTTTCTGTTCAAATGCGGGCCCTAATCTTGTTTCCGCGCACAGAGTTCGTACCATTGATTATGAGACGAAGCTGTGCGTCGGAGTTTTTTAAAAAGTGTTTCTGACTACTAAACTGGTAATAATACTTCTTTGACAAAACAAAGCAATGCTGTGCATTAGTCAACAGCTGATCCGGTTATAAGGGAAAGTTCTGGTTCAAATAAAAAGCCTGGTTGCTTCAATTGATTCATTCAACAATAGTGCTTCCTCCTAAAGATCTCATCTTTGAACATTCCCGCGAAAATCAGAGCAGCTGCAAGAAAGCTTTATACCCTAATTCATTCGCACAAGGCGCACATTTTTTATTATTTACGCGAACCGCTCAGCCGCGTCACTGTTTTTTTTGGAAATCGATTGACAAGCAGCACAATTCTTTCAAGCATCATACAACAGCGTATGAGATCCTTTCGCTGCGAAGTCCCTTGGCATGTTTGTACCAGTCGACTTTAAAAAAATCCCTGTTCTTGTACGCGTGAAATTATTTTAGTTTGATGCTCCAAAGGTGGATTTACGAACTGAATGGCTGAATTAATTTTCTGACCATATCATTGTAAGCATGGTTCTGACGTAATCAGTTTCAGTATTGAAGTAAGGAAATTTTCCATGAACGAGTGGTACTAAAAACTCAGTTTAAAAACTCATTTTGTACTCATCTCTTTTTCAGAAACTTGCTTCTAGGTTAGATAATAAGCGTCTACTTGTGATATTCCTGCCAATTTCATAGAAGTAAAACTAATTTCCAAGGGAGCTAAACCGCTGGCAATTATCCGGGTATGATGAAAATTTTGGAAGATGTAACTCGCTTATTATGGTACTAACAAGGTGAGGATACTTACAAGGAAAGGAAGGTTGGTCGAAGTGGCCTTTTCAAATGGCACATACACTGCCTTGTAGAGCTTGGAGCGCTGGTTCCAAATCTACTTTTGCTATTTGCTGCGGGCTTCTGGGTGAGGAGTTATGAAGGTTTTTGTGAGTAAAAATCTGAATGCAAGAGTAGGCTAAAATCGTCGTAACATTTTTTGTAGGGCTTAATTGGTAGTCGGGTGTTACTCGGTGCAACAAATATTCTTGATTCAAATATACCATTTCGCTGTTGCCTCATTTGAACATTGGGAAAGGGTTAAAACTGATTTTACCCCTATTTTTCCATTCAGATTTTTACTCACAAAAATCTTCATAACTCCTCTCCCAGAAGCCCGCAGCAGATACCAAAGGTAGATTTGGAATCAGCGTTCCAAACTCTACAAGGCAATGTACACCTCATTTCAAAAGGCCACTTCGACCAACCTTCCTTTCCTTGTTAGTCAAAAGCACCAATCTAGATGAGACATAAATCATCTTAAAGCTTGAAACGCTGATTCCAAATTTGCAGTTTTTAGCTGCGGAGCGGTTTTAGAGGGAGTTATGAGCAGGGTTGAGCGTGAGATCAGGCGCGCCCGACCTGGGGGGTCGTCTGGGGGGTGTTGACTGAGGGGGGGTTGTAATCAAGAACCGAATCCGTTTAATTGGGAAGATATTACGAAGGTGAAGAAGATATGCGCTATTCCGGTGGATATTGCAATTACCAGTACTGAAGGAATGACGGTCGTAAACAGCATGCTGAATGTTTCACAGAAATTTCAGCCAAATTCAAGTCTTCATGTTTTACTTTCAGATATCATGAGGTTACCAAGTAAGCTGGCTGTGTGAAATGGGTATTATTTCCGTAATCAACATGTCAGATTATTTCTATAAGCTCTAAAGTCATTACCTACCGCATTTTCTAGTGTTTCGCAACGTCCAGAAAGCGTGATTTTCAAACATGATTAACTTGGCTTCCAAAGTGAAAATAGTCAGCTTCTTATACTCATAACAATGTAACTTTTCCTACAAGTCTATGTTAGAACTCGGGCTTTATATCGCTTTCAAATAATGAAGTAAGAAGTGCTGCCAAATTTCCAACCGGCGCGTTCTTCACACTAAGTGCTTTAAAGGCACCGTCCACCCTAAGTTGAGGGTGTTGACCTTTTGGCAGCATATAATAGCGCCCCCTATTAATCCAATGCCCAAGTCGCGGCGCAAAATGGCGCTTCGGAAGCGAGAAAATCGCTTCGGAATAGCAAAGATGCACAAGGACCCCCATCCATGCCCGCCCTCCCCCATCCATGCCCGCCCATTTGTGCGCGCCCGTCCAATCAACGTTCCGGAAAGCCGGCCTGTGGGTTCTCCGGAACGGGGATTGTCGGGGTTTTCGCACATTCTCGACTTCATATTCGGAATCAGGGACATGAGAGGGCCCTGAAACGATAAAAACGTGGAAGTCGAAAATCTGGGTGGACGGTGCCTTTAACTCTACGGATTACTACAAGGCCGAAACAAGTCGAAGCAAGCTCAAACACTTATTGTGGAATCTTCGAGATTTGTGCTAGCGAATCACATGAAACTTGGATAGAAAACCTTCCTCGAAAATAAAGTTAATGGGGTCAGGCGCAACCCCTCAAAAGGTCAGGCCGCCTGTGCTTTTGCGGGGTTGCGCCTGACCCCCTTAAAGGCAGTGTCCGGGCAAAAACTCGATTTTGAGATTTTGTGCTTACCCGGGCCTATTCGCTATGCTGAACTCGAAAATTCTCACCGGAAAGCGCGAAAACGACGAAAAAGGGTCCTAACGCTGGACGGAAATCAGCAAGTGGGCGGGGTCTTCCCCAATGTGGATTCACGCTCCAAGCTTCCGGAGCGATCTTCTCGATTCCAACTTCAAGTCATGCATTCGCACCCGGCCTGTGGAGTTCTTAGAGGGCTAGCAAAATTGAGAAGATCGCTCCAGAAGCTGGGATCGCGAGATTCACGGTGGGGAAGACCCCGCCCACTTCTGATTTCCCTCCCAGTTAGAGCCCCTTTTCGCCGTTTTCGCGCTTTTCAATGTGGATTTTCGGATTCAGCATAGTGAATAGGCCCGGGTAAGCACAAAATCTCAAAATCGACTTTTCGCCCGGACACTGCCTTTAACTTGTCTTCAGTATTCAAAAATTGCTCCTTTTTTAGTATGAGTATTGAGCGCAAAGCGTCTTCTTGCTATATCGAAAATATGGAACCAAACACTCCACATCTGCAAAAACTATAACTCTGAAAAGAGGGCTATCCAAGTTCAAAACTTGCCGTCAAGTTGCGTGTGGTTGTGCAATCGCAGAAAGTTGGGCCTACGGCCAGAAAACAAGAGCTATCCAGTAAAGGCTGGTTTTCTTTAAAATATCACAGTCTAAGGTCCTGGAGGTGAAACGGAGGAGTCATTTTAGGTGCTTTCACAGGGGGGGGGGGGGAATCGTTTTCAGAGGACTTGTGCCTGACCGCTTGCTCAACCCTGGTTATGAGAGGTGTTTCCCTCTAGGGTCGAGGCGCCTTCCACCATGTCTCCACTACCTATAAGCACTGTAGAGGAGTACCAAATGGTGGCAACTGGCTTCATGGTAAGTAACTTGAATGAAGATTATAGTAAGAATCATAATACTTTTACTACTTTGGTTTTAACACTTCTATAGCATCAATATCATCAAAAATTTTAAGCTTTAGAGCTTCAAAGCCATTTAGAAGCTCAATTTTGCAAAACTGCGACAAAGTTGCATGCGAAGAGGATTAAAACCTTGACACTCTCCTTAGCAAGCACGTCACTTACCACTAAGTCAGTTGCCACCACTTGGTACTCCTCTACAGTGCTTATAAGTGGGGGGAGAAATGGTGAAGGGCGCCTCGACCCCAGAGGGAAACACCTTTCATAACTCCCTCTACAAAACGGCTCCGCAGCAAGAAAATGCAGATTTGGAATCAGCGTTTCAAGCGCTTTAAGATGATATATGACTCATCTGGATTGGCGCTTTCGACTAAGTATCCTCTCCTTGTAAGAGTCCGTAGTAAGATTCGAGTATGAAAAGACACTGTAAATCCACCTTTTGGAGCATCAAACTAAAATAATTTCACGCGTACAAGAGCGGGATTTTTTTCAAAGTCGACCGGTACAAACATGCCAATAAACTTCGCAGCGAAAGGATCTCATACGCTGTTGTATGATGCTTGAGAATTGTGCTGCTTGTCAGTCGATTTCCAAAAAAAAACAGTGAATTGGCTGAGCGGCTCGCGTAAATAATAAAAAATGTGCGCCTTGTGCGAGTAGAAATAGGGTATAAAGCTTTTTTGCAGCTGCTCGATTTCCGCGGGAATGTTCAAAGATGAGATCTTTATGAGGACGCACTGTTGTTGAATGAATCAATTGAAGCAATCAGGCTTTTTATTTGAACCAGAACTTTCCCTTATAACTAGATCAGCTGTTTACTGATGCACAGCATTGCTTTGTTTTTGCCAAAGAAGTATTATTACCAGTTTAGTAGTCAAAAACACTTTTTTAAAAAACTCCGAAATACAGCATCGTCTCATAATCAATGGTACGAACTCTTTGCGCGGAAACAAGATTAGGGCCCGCATTTGAACAGAAAATTACAAAACTCAACAAAACCTTTTTACAAGTATAAACAGCGATTTATTCAAACAAAAATAGACTTCACATATTCGAAAGCTAACGTGAGCTACTAAACAGTAGCCTCAACACCATCCCGCGATGCTATATAAATAAACCTCCAATCAGTTTATGGCAGCTATTGCGACAGCTTATTACTATATAAACAAATATAGTCTTGAACGGAGTGTTTAAAGGCCACTTGTAGACGAAATCTGCGCGGTGTTCCTAAGACAGCTTGTTGTAGAACATTTCAAAACTGCGGAAAAGTTATGTGGCGAAAGTTGAAGGCACATTAACAGCAGCAGACGTTGCTGATAATGCAGCATGACACACAGCAGCATTGTGAAGATGGGGTGCCGCCAGATAAGGCACTGGTGACAGCTGGAGCAGCAGCGTAACTAGTGGATGCAGCGGGAGCGGCGTAGCTGGTGGCGGCTGGTGCAGTATAGCCATTTGAAACTGCGGGAGCAGCATAGCCATTCGAAACTGCGGGAGCAGCATAAGATGCAGCATAGCCATTCGAAACTGCGGGAGCAGCATAGCCATTTGAAACTGCGGGAGCAGCATAAGATGCAGCATAGCCATTCGAAACTGCGGGAGCAGCATAGCCATTTGAGACTGCAGGAGCAGCATAAGATCCCGCAGGAGCTGCGTAAGATATAGTAGCCGCAGGTGCAGCGTAAGACACGGAGGTGGCTGGGGCAGCATAGCCATTCGAAACTGCGGGAGCAGCGTAAGATGTAGCAGCTGGAGCTGCATAGCTTGTAGGAGCAGCAGGAGCAGCGTAAGATGTAGCAGCCGGAGCTGCATAGCTTGTAGGAGCAGCAGGAGCAGCGTAAGATGTAGCAGCCGCGGGTGCAGCGTAGCTCGTTGCTGCAGTCGGAGCAGCCGCAGAGATGCCACTGCCACAGCCTGCGCCAGAGCCACTGCCTCCAGTAGTACAGCACATAATACCAATACATTGCCTCTTGGTTCGTGATGTCTTGTCTTTGAGCACTTTTCCACAGGCGGGGGTGAAGTTGCAGATGAGCAGAACAGCAACGAGACAAGCAGCTGTCTTCATCCTGAAATTTGAAAATTATTGTCACCAAACTCCAAGATTGCTGAAGAAATTTGACTCATGCGTTTTAAAAAAACATCAATTTTCTTTCATCCGATTTGGCAATTATTGATCGATTTTATTTGCAGCTCATGCAAGTAGGTCTTGCATACAATAGTGCAGAAAAAAATCGTTGAAATACGTGTCTGCAGAAAACCCGTCGTACAGTATTATACATCACTTCATTACACCATTACTATATGATGCATGTCATACTTGCATTGAGAAATGTAGAGGATAAGCCAGGCTTACATGTGAGTGCTTGTAGACGTGACCATAGCGATGAGGAGATTGCAGTTTCTCTCTACTTTATATATTTCATCTATTTGTTCTCCAATCAATGACAGAAGTGTAAATAATAAATTACCACTGGATAAAGGAATTTTTTATGACTAGATCAGCGCCTTGACGAAAAATGATTGTATGTGATTTGTTTATTCAGTAATCAACTCTTCTCTACCAACGTAAAATTTTTCGTTTTTCTTTGTTCGTAAGCAACTCTTCTCTACTAACGTAAATTTATCATGAGAGTCTAACACTCTAACATAATCTTTTAGAGTCATCAATCAATTTTTGCTTAGCGGGAAAAGCTTTCAAGTGCAATAGAGCAGACGGCTTAAGAATTACATTAGAAAAGCTTGAGATTCATTATATTAGCATAAGAAAAATTAAAATTTTTAGCCGTCCGAAGTCTACATCGTTACTAAATTTAGAAGGAAGCAACAAAGCCGCCATAGGTACAGTGTCTACGGTTTGCCCTATGAGTGAAAAACGACGACACCCTGGTCCATCTTGAATTTGCGATTACGAATTGGCTAGTAGGCCAAGTGCAAGTGAAATCTGGCAAATTTTGCAGTCTGCAAGATGTCAGAGGCTCTTCCCCCTTATACAAGGTGTCCCAAAAAATTCTACTCACTGTTTGATTGTAAATAACTCTCTTCTAATGAGTTTCAGGAAGCTTAGGTACCATTTTGTAGAGCGAGGTTCAACTTAGATTTACGGTATAGAGCGAATCACTGATCTCTCTTCATTACTGTAGGATTACGGTAGAAACTTCAAAGAGGATTTTGAGCCATGAAAGGCCATATTTTGCCTCAGAAAGGAAAACAGCCCGGAAGCTTTCACACTAGACTAATTGGAGTTGTTGATTCTAGCTGTAAAGTTCCCAACTTATTATAGTTTTTCATTGAAGAGTTATGCGGGGTAAGAGGTAGCGGCCATTTTTTCAATGTTCCTAAGAAGTGTGGTCACACCATTTAGAAAGCTTCGCAATTTTGTGAATAGTTGACTATCGAACTCAGCGTCCATAAAAACCCTGATACACAAGTTTTCACTTTTTTTTTGAAATTTTCTAAAACTGCAGTTTTTTCCACATTGACACCACATGTTTCAAGTTACTACTGTAATCCTACAGTAATGAAGAGCGATCGGTGATTCGCTCAAATCTGAGTTGAATCTCGCTCTACGAAATGGTACCTAAAGCTTCCTGAAACACTTTATTACAAGAGAGTTATCTATATATAAATAAAACTCAATCTCTGTAAATTTGTTCGTATGTAAGTATGTGGCTTATAGACTCCTTTGTTTGTGAACCGATGAGGCTGAAATTTGCTCCCATATAAATGAGGCCAGGCGCAGAAGATAGGCTACTTTTTGCGACGATTTACTGGGTCCTTCTATCGATTTATTGATTTGCTTACTCACATATAGGGGAATAAACTTATCAATCATTCCTGGATCATAGTTGGGTAAGCAGGGAGGTAAAGATCATTTATATTTTGCGGCGAGGAGGATCCGGTTCTTCGAGTCAGCGGGATATGTTGCGGAAGCGCTTCTTCAGATATGCATAAGGAATGTGAGTAACGCTTTTGGATTCTAATACTTTCCACCGGTCATTAGAGCCCGCTTCCCGGACAGGACCGGGGATGCCATCTAGTTTATAATACAATCAAACAGTGAGTACATTTTTGGGACACCTTGTATAATAGAAATTAGAGTCATTAGAGTTGCGGATTACTACTTTTTTAAATAAACAAGCTGTTTTATTTGTAAGTTGTGCAACACGAGGTTTCGGCAGCGCCTTTATTAACAGAGCTCTTCTGCCCAATGGCCTGACGTTTCGAGCAATCGTCGTCTTCAGTGGCCTAAATTGGCAAAGAGAACAATCAAGCTACTGACTGATCAAACTGTTTTTGTTTTCGTAGCAAACTTAGGGTACCCCCTACAAAAGACTACTAAAGACCCGCCTAAGTCAAAATCCAGGCATTTAAGCCCCAAAAATCAAAATATATCAACACTTTAAGAATCGGACCTCCTTTCAGAAAATTCCTACAAACCTCCAGCTTGGTCATCGTACAGTCGACACATAGTATTATCCAAACTATACATTTGGTAGATTTTTTTAAGTCTTAAAAAGGAGAAATCAAAAGGGTTCGAAAATGCAAAAATGCCACTTTCTTCGGTTTTCAATATTGAATTTGGTATTTCTCAATTACCAGAGCGCATACGGAGGTAAAATTTCAAAGTTATGATTACTAAGGTTTGCAGTATTGACTAGCTGGAAGTGGAGCCTGCCGTTTTTGGACTGCATTTTTTCCCGCTTTCTTTGCGAGAAAACATGACAAATGCATATTTGATTATTACTATGTGTACACTGTATATTGACTAAGTTGGAAGTTTCTTGCTAAAATCCAGTTCTCATGTGATAAAATTTTTTTGATTTAGGCTACAAACTTTACCTAGATCACGGCTTGGGCGGATCTTTGGTGGTCATCCTGTAGAGCTTGCTTAGCTCTATCGAATGATACCCTGAATCTGCAAGGAAAACAAAAACGCTTAATTTATTTAAAAAAGGGACTTACTTTTGGGACAACCCGATAGAAATATTGCACATTGTTCTCTACTTTCTTCAAATGCTTTAGATTCGTTGAAATTCCTCGCATTCTGGTCATATCAGACCTATAAACTGGTGGTGATCATACCGATTGGGAGCGGATAATCAACAAAGACTGTCCCTAATCTGCATGCGTATCAATAAACACTCTGAGGAACATGATTGAAATGGCGTTCATAGTTATTCATAGTTTATCAACGACATGTGTTACTGTACGCATGCCTTATATGATCTTGACCTCGGAAAGTTTATGCTCCTTCGTAAATGCAACTCATTTATAATCATTGTGCCTGAGGGTTGCTTTCTGAACGATTCTATAATATTTCCAGGATCGTGTCTTAAAAAGCCATATCTGTGCTTTCTCACTTTTAGGTAGCAGTAAGCGTTCACTTACGACACTTATGTCGTTTATTTACTTTTATTGGTTTGCTTTTTTCTTGGTTTTATTTTCTTTATTGATACACTGTGACTTAGTTATTGTTTTGAATAACATTGCGCAACAAGCCACACATGTCAGCTAGCGCAATCAAGCAAGGAAAGGACTGTCAGTTGAGGTGAGCTTTGAGATAAGATGGATATCATCTTGGAGGGCATAAGCGCTCCAAATTATCTTTATCTACGGAGCGCTCCCAGACAAGGAGTTATGAGCGTTTATCAAAGCAAAAATTTGTATCTGGCAACTGTATGATACCGCTCGTAATATTTCTCCTATACCTTAAACGCAGCAGTGGTATTTGTCAGTGCACTGCATGCGATAAATCCTCTTTCTTTCAGTACAGCTTCACTCACCGCTGCCTTATTTGAGTTAGGGAAAACCGTTGATTCTAAGCCCCCATAGCCTTTCGCTCAGAAACGCTCCGCAGATAAGGAAGGAGATTTGAAATTAGCGCTTTATGTCTTCCCGGAAGCTATGCAATCAATCTCAAATCCTACTTTGACCAAGTATTCGCTCTTGATGCCAAAGTGCAGCGGGTCAGATTTTTACCGTCGAGCAGATGTGGGTCACTTATAAATTCACACTGGTGGGGACTCTCAAATTTATTTTGGTTTCTTGTCGTTATTCTTTCTTGTGAAACTGCTCTTCTACGTTATAGTGAAGTGAACGGGTTCCGATGTGTCTGATTTGATCTGTCTCCCTTCTCGTTGTTCCACGGTGCAGGGTTGGTCGAACCATCGTGAACCACCAACTTTCTCGATGTATCTCCCGTTAGGAAGTTCATTCATTTTTGCCATAGTGAGCATTTGCTAGTTAACCATTCATTTACGAAACAAACTTTCGGACAAAACCTGACACAGTGCGCTTCAGCAGCAAATGCGGTACTTAACTACTTACAAGGAAAGTGTGTTTAGTCGAAGTGGCCTTTCCAGATGATACCCACACTGCTTTGAAGAGCATTACGCGGTGATTCCAAATCCTCCTTCCAAATCTGCTCAGCGCCTCTGGGCGCCGAGTTATGGGTGTTTTTCAGGCAAAAAAATTGGACGCAAAACTTCAACGAAATCGCCCAAATTTGCTCAAATGGTTCACTGTCAAGTATCAGAGCCGTTTATGCAATGGATACATTTTGTCTAATATGCTAATACTAAACATTGCTTTATCTGAGCGCTGGAAAGATTGTAACAATCGATTTTACCTAAATTTTGCATTCATTTTTCGCTATTAAAAACGGTCATAACTTGGCGTCCAGAGGCGCTGAGCAGATTTGGAAGGCAGATTTGGAATCACCGCTTAATGCTCTTCAAAGCAGTATGTGTCTCATCTGGAAAGGCCACTTCGACCAAACGCGCTTCCCTTGTTAGATACTCAAATAGCCAATCTCCCCATGGCGTGCGGCCCCAGCATAAAAGTTTCCAATTGTCCCTGTCCCTCGCTTTAGACATCCAAGATCTCTTCGGTAGACATCGATGGCTGCGTTTACCAGTTCCAGGTGCGAAGATCATATCCGGCTGATTTCTCAGCTGCCATCTGTTCCACGAATACATCTGCCTTAGTTGGAGGTATTCCCCGCGGACTTTCGCTTCGCGAGGAATCGAAGAAATCCACTCCAATGTTCACAGTGTCAAGTCAATCTGTCGTCTGTTCCTCTCATAATGTGACTCATCAATTCCCCTTCGCAACATATTCCGCCTTCCAATGTTTGTCAGAATTGTGAATACGCCCTCAAAAACTGGTGGGAAGTTATGTAGTGAAATCAGCACGCCTAAAAACTTTGCTACACAAATTTTGAGATCTCTTCGAAATCATTTCATCAAAAAGCTTATTCCACAGTGACGCTGTATGCTGACACATACCGTGATCCTACAGTAACGAAGAGTGATTGGTGATTCGCTTCATACTGCAAATCTAAGTCTATCCTCTCTCTACAGAATGGTACCTCAAGCTCG